CAGTTGCACACTTAGAAGTGTTGAGCAGTTGAACACTTAGTTTATCAGTGTACACACCCGTCATGGTTGGGTCAACAATGACGGTCGTCCTTCCTTTTGGATGACTTACATCATTCCAAAGTCATTTGGACCCCCGATAGGCACTTGAAGTTTTGTCGATTGGATGTCGGTCGATACGCTCGACAGTCGGTCGTCGGTCGACATTTCCGTGTTATTGGGGTCGTCAATATTTCGTTCATAGTACGGATGCCTATCCATAGCGATAGACATGCCTCATTCCGGAGTTGTCAGTGCTGGTGGTTTACTAACTAATTAGTGCAGCCCTGCTGTGCAAATCTAATGCTCCTCGCTCAAATTTTAATTTATTATTGTTTTAGGTAATTTATTGCTCTCGAATAAGACTATTATTGATATTGTGATAAGATGGCGTTAATTTTCGCCCTATACGTAATCGAGGAGTACTTCACTATAAATCCAAGAAAACATAACTTTTTCCCGTTTTTATTTGTATGTGGTGATTCTCGCCTTGTCTCGATTCTCCTCCATGTTTCCGTTTGTTTTTTGTTTTTTTATTTTTATCGGTTTTCTTTGATGTCTTGGAGGTAGTACACGGGTGTGCATGTTTCTTTTCAGTGAAGTACTCCTCGCATGCGATACATTCCTGTTGATTTTATTTTGTGACCAATTTGTGGCGCGTGTAGTCGGCTTCCTAGGGTCTGCCACGGCCCCGTCCGCTTAGGCAACCAAACGAACTCGTGGCAGCGCGTAGGACATGCGGCCGCTGCCGCTGACACATAATCAAGAGTTTATAGAGTATTTCGTGAATTTTGTATAATGTAACTATTATCTGTGAAATGCATGCATTGCACCACGTGGCACCGTTACCGTTATGAATGTCCATTAAAAGTGCGTATGGTGTGGGCGTGGCATGATGGTTTTGTATTTACAAGCTTGTGAGACTGACACTTGTTAATGCTTATTTATTGTACAGTTGGAAAATTAATAAAAGTGTGATTACTTTTGTCATCAATGCACAATTTGTTAGCTTATTTTAATTTTTGTCCGTGGGTCCTTTGTTTTAAATCGAAAAGTACGCCTCACTCCACCACACTCCACTTGTATGTGCCGGGGATATTTCTTTATCCAACCACAGATGATTTTTTTTTTTTTATTTTTGCTTGTGGTAATGAGAAACAATTATTCAACATACTGGGTGACGATCGTCTATCTATGAGTAAAGGTTCAACTCTGATCCACTGATACACGGCGCGGAGACTTATTTGGGATAAACCAGAAAGTCCGTCCGTTAATTCCGCCACGAAATTGCCAAGTCGAGCCCAGCCTATTCATGCTGTCCAAGCGCCTGATGGGTAGGCAACATCATCCATGCAGCGCATGCGTGAACTGCGGGGTGGCCTACCCCGGGCTTCGCAGGCGCCGAGCTTGCCGTGACTTGCCGAATGAATCTGAGAAAAGCGGACGTACTTTCTGGTCGATCCTTCAACATAACACCCGAGCGAGTAGGAGTAGGTATCAGGTAACACCCCCACACCACACTATGTGTAGTGCAATGAAACTGCCCCGAAGGGTGGAGCGAATCAGCCACCTAGTGTTGTAACGTGATGAACATCGGTTCAAAATTGTTAGTTACCTCTACAGAAAAAATTGTCCGAAGTGAGAGTCGTTCGTGTTTTAGAAACAGCCTGCCGTTATCAGAATTGGACAAACCCGTTCTTTGGTAGGACAAATTACGGATCGAAAACTGTCTCTCCAACGGATCTGAGCTTATCATATAGACCTTTTCGACAGTGGTTGAGGTTAGAAACAATTTGGAGGCTGCAACTTTTTTCTTTCTAACTGTTTGAAATTTTTGACTTCGAAGCGCAACAGCGGTCGACTTGTTCGTTGCGCTACGTTGCGCTACGGAGTCAAAATTTGCTATTCGTGTTCAGTGAAAATGTTGCAGGCAATAAAAGTTTTCAGCCTCCCTACCCTCTCCTCCCCCTCACCCTACCGCCGAAAAGGTGTATTGGTCTCGAGTCCCTTGCTCGTACTCGTGCTCTTCTCTGGCGAACCGGAAGCTGGCGAGGCAGCGGGTATCGGCAGAGCGGTGCGTGCGGGTACGTCGCTACCCGCTCACTGTCTCTCGATGCTGGGTGTATCGACGGCGTGAGTGAAGCAACAGATGCGATAACATTCACTGATTACGCCTCGGGTGAATAACAGAGGATAGCCGACGCGGAATTTCAGTGCAGTATAAAAAATGACTTTATTACAGGTTTACAGTTACTAGTACTGGCGACGGCCGTACTGATGTGTCATGGACTGAGACTCTTCGTCGTCGGCGTCGTCATGATGATGATGTCCATGCTGTCCGCCGGTCGATGACTCCTGCTCGTCGGAGTCCTGGTTCTCGCCGTGCTGGTAGGGGCCGTGGCCGTGGTGGCTGCCACTAGCGACTGAAGAGAGGTGGCCGTGGCCGACGGGGTTGTGCACCGATGAACTGACAACTGCGGCACCATTCTGGCTGCCCTGCCCCCAGCCTCCGTTGGGGTTGTTGTGGCTACCACTCTGACTGCCACCATGGCTGCCTCCCTGCTGGTTCTGACCCTGTCCCCAGCTCCAGCTGCTGCCCTGGTTGCCACCCTGGTGTCCACCCTGGTTCCATCCCTGGTTGCCACCCTGCTGGTTACTACCCTGGTTGCCACCCTGCTGGTTACTACCCTGGTTGCCACCCTGCTGGTTACCACCCTGGTTGACACCGTGCTGGTTACCACCCTGGTTGACACCGTGCTGGTTACTACCCTGGTTGACACCGTGCTGGTTACCAC